TAGCAGAAAGACCCCAGCACTATAACCCTGTGTGGTATTTTTCTTCACGGCCGAAGTGGTTGCCGGCCGGGACCGAGGCCCCAGGCTGGCGTGCGGTGGGAGGGCCTGCCAGCCAAACAGCCGTGGCAGCAGCGTGGCTCAGTGGGAGAACAGATGTTGAGCTGCCCGAGAGCGAGGACTTGGGTTAATGGCTTTCGTGTATAGTGCTTTGGACGGGGCACAATTAACTCTGCATTGGGATAATTACAAGCGATGCTAAGCCACCTCCTCGGGAGTGCTACACAAGACTTTGCTTGTAAGGAAGTACGCCAGATAGATACAGCTTTGACTAAACATCCATGTTTAGTCTAAGTTAATCTGAATTCTGCTTTAAGGACTGGGTAGCTGCCGGTCTCACCCCAGCACTGAGAGCTGGTGGACCTTATGTTTTCTTCCTAGTCATTTTTGTTCCAGTCTTTCCCTGCCTTCTCCTTTTCCTTCTCCTTCCTGCCTCGCTGTTCTTCAGTCTTACGTTCCCCTCTTCTGATGATACTTCACATGTACGTGTTCTGGTGAGAAAAAGCAACGTAGCCTGAACTGTTCAGCCTAGAGCTGGCTGAAGGGCAGGGCTCAAAGGGTTGTGGTGAATGGGGCTACACCTAGCTGGTGACCGGTCACCAGTGGTGTTCCTCAGGGATCAGTTCTAGGGCAAGTTAGTTCTGATCAATATATTTATCAATGATCTGGATGCAGGAGTTGAATGCACCATTAGCAAGTTTGCTGATGATACCAAACTGGGAGGTGGTGTTGACTCTCTCGAGGGACAAGAGGCCTTGCAGAGGGATCTGGATAGACTGGAGCGTTAGGCAGCAATTAATGGGATGCAATTCAACAAGTCCAAATGCCGGATTCTGCACCTAGACAGAGTAACGCCAAGCACAAGTATAAATTGGGAGAGGAGTGGCTGGAGAGCAGCCCTGCAGAAAGGGATCTGGGGGTGCCGGTCGGCAGCAGGGTCAATGTGAGTCAGCAGTGTGCCCTGGCAGCCAAGAGGGCAAATCGCATCCTGGGGTGCATCAAACATGGTATAACCAGCCGGTCAAAAGAGGTGATTATCCCACTGTATTCAGCATTGGCGCGGCCCCATCTTGAACACTGTCTGCAGTTCTGGGCCCCACAATTTAAGAAGGGTGTGAAGGTCCTTTAATGTGTCCAGAGGAGGGCAACAAAGCTGCTGACAGGGCTGGAAGGAATGTGCTGTAAGGAGCGGCTAAGGCTGAGGACTTTGGGCTTGTCTAGTTTGGAGAAAAGGAGGCTGAGGGGGCAACTTCATCGCTCTCTGCAGCTTCCTGAGGAGGGGAAGCGGAGAGGGAGGTGCTGAGCTCTTCTCCCTGGGATCCAGTGACAGGACGCGTGGGAATGGTTCAAAGCTGCACCAGGGGAGGTTTAGACTGGACATTAGGAGACATTTCTTTACTGAGAGGGTGGTCAAACCCTGGAACAGGCCTCCTAGAGAGGTGGTCAATGCCCCAAGCCTGTCAGTGTTTAAGAGGCATTTGGACAATGCTCTTAATAACAGGCTTTAACTTTTGGTCAGCCCTGAGGTGGTCAGGCAGTTGGACTAGATGATCATTGCAGGTCCCTTCCAACGGAAATATTCTATTCTATTCTATTCGCCCGGAATCAGGGCACTGGATGAGCAACTAAAAGTTCCGTGTTGGCAGAACTTCTGTGTACCACAAAGCCTATGTAACAGTGCTTGACACTGAATAAACATTTAAAATATACATGCAAGCTTGGCTGAGAAGGGAGAAACTGCAGTTTTAAAGGTGGTAGAGGAGAGAGCAAAAATTTTGGCTTACAGTGCTGCTGTGGTCACTAGAAAGTGAAAGAGCATCAAGACATCACACAACAGGTAGGCTTTATTTGGACATATCTGCAGTTGTTCCATCACACAGTTTTCTTCGTGTTCCTGGATATTACACTCTCTCTCTCGCTCGCTCTGAATATATGTATACACATGCACGCAGAAAGCATACTCTCAAATGTGCTGTTCTTTGCTGAAAAATTACAGTAATGTTCCTTTTTTCACAATCAAAATAGCAAAACGGATAAATGCCAAAACCTGCTTATGTAGTAACATGTTACAAGGTGTTCTTTGGTCTCCCGTATACAAAGAATTGGCAGAGCTGTTCTTCCGCGTGTTGTCTCAAGTCTGCAGGGTACGCTGCAGGAGGGTTGGTGCTGGCTCGAGTGCAAGTCTGTCTTGTGGTGACAGGACACAGCCCCCAGGTGTTCCTGGTAACTCAAAAATTTGAACTCTGTGCAACTCTGGGAGCAACTAGCAGCCAAAGCGTATCTGCTGATCCGAGTCTCAGTGGAGTGCGCATTCCTCCCGTCTCCAAGCTGAGACTGTAAATGCATTTGTGGTTTTGGGGAAATAGATCCGCTACTGGGCCGTAACGTAAGGACTGACTTATTCAGCAGATAAAACTCACTTCCAAATGCATGGTGTGCCCTCGGGAAACAATTCAATCCTGATTTGAATCTCCTGGTTGCAGCTGGGGAGCCCTTTACCTTGCATTCCCAGCACGTTTTAAAGCTGCATTGGGTGGTGAGGGGCATTTTGTTTCAAGTTGCCTTCCTATGCCTTCCACTTACAGCTCGCTCTCTTTCCTTGACTATTTGTAGTTCTTCTGGAATGGCTGGTTGGCTTCACCAAGCTGACTGGAGTCTCTCGGTGAAACTGCACAAAGTTGCTGCAAGTAACCTGGGGTACATTGAAAGGACACATGGTGGAATACCACAGAAAATCCTCGTTGCTCTGAGCGGTCAGTACAGAAACGTCTCCACTGTCTCCAAAGTCTTAATAGCAAATTAAAATAATGAGGTAGCTTTTCACACATTTTGC